AGAACTTTCTAGGACGTACCTTTCCTGGACCGGCACTGTTCCACCCTTTTATGCCCACGCTCCCCTTTTCATTAAGTGAAACTTGCCTGGTACCCTCCTCCAAACCACTGTCAGATTGGAAGAGGTGATCTAATATACTAATGGGGGAGGGAAGCATTCTTCCAGGTGTTGAGGGAACCACAGTCTCTGCCCTCACTCGGTTTACATCCTAGGGTTGGGATGCAGGCAATAAGCAAGTAAACACAAATACGCAATATAGTTTCAGGTAGTGATAAGTGTGTTAGTTGGGAGAGGGGCTATTTTAGATAGGGTGCTCAGCTAAGGCTGGGAGGAGGTGACCTCTGTGTAAACATCTGAACTGAGAGATGCAAACAGCCTAAGCAAAGAGGAAGCAAGTGCAAAGGCCTCAAAATAGGGGAAACTAGCCTCCTGGGTTCCAGGAACTGCAAGAGGCTCAGAAAAGCAAGAGGTGGAAGGACAGGAGATCCGGTTTGAGCTTTGACACCTGAGCGTCTTCCAGACATGGTAAAGAGTTTACATTTTATTCAAAGTCCGACAGGAATCTTTGGAGTGAAATTACGCACTTATTTACTTAATAAACACTGACTTGTGCGTGAGAACAGGCTTTAAGGGAACAAGAGTAGAAGCAGTGTGACCAATCAGGAGGCTACAGTAGCAGTCTAGGCAAAAGCAGACATTAACAGGGGCTAGGGTAGAACAGGGGAGAAGGGTGAGAAGTGGTCTCTTCGGAAGGAGTGAGAGAAGACTTGCTGATTAAATATGGGTGTGAGAGGGAAAGAGGCTTCAAACGACTAGTCCAGGTCAAAACACCGACAGAGGATTTTTTTAAGTCTGCTGAATAAATGAAACCCTTATCATAATCCCAAAACCGGTTCATGGAGCCTATATGTCCAAGGCCTGTGTATCGTGGGCCCTTGGCTCGGGTTGAAGCAGTTGGTGAGAAGCTTACTGCAAAGGGGGCGCACTCAGAAGAGTGACAGGTACCTCGCGGGCCAGATAGAAAGGTGGACAGTACCACAGCACTTCTGCTTAGTTTGGGAGGCGTTTAAAAGAAGTCGTTTCAAAGGAGCCACGCACGTCTTCACAGGCCGGGAAGTGGAGAGAAAGTGGGATGATCCTAGTCGTGCGTTAAGACCCTCCCCCTGTCAATCAGAACCCCGAAGCTGATCCCAAATTGCCAAGGGCAAGCAGAGACGCAGGGAAAGGTTGGGGTTTACTGGGGAGCCACTACTCTGCCAGCGGCGCCGTTACCTACATGAAACCAGCACCCCCGGTCACCAGGACCCGCTTCGCAAAGCCGTTGGGAGGACGCAAGGGCTCGGGCCGTCCCGCAGCCGACATCTCCCAGCTCAGCAGGGACTGGAACCGTAAAACGCCACGTTTGTAGATCGTAGGGAAGTTCCACTACGACTTTTTGCGACGCGTCTCCCTCCCCCGACACGTTAACGGGGCAGGCAGCGGTCGCTTCCGGAGCTCGGGCTGACTTGTCCCCGCCCACTGACGGATGGGCGGGGCCTCCGGGTGTGCGGTCCGCGCAGCGCCACTGCGCAGGCGCAGCTCTTCTCTGCCAATACCTCGGAGGATTGGAGTGACTGGAGTAGCTGGGAAAGTAGGGTCTTAAAGGTTCCGGGGCAAATAACACCACCGTGGATTAGGCTTTACTTAGCTACACATGTGGTCGGAGTTAGGAATGATTACCTTCTTTTCATTCTTGAACTACAGCGATCTCCACAGATTACTCACCGGTTGAGCTGAGAACTCCAGTTCTCTTACTTCTCTTCTTGCAAACTGTGGAGATGGGAGGTTGGAATTGCAAAATGGCCTTTTACTTTCTCGTCGGCACCATTTACAGACAGTGCGGGCCGCTTGCAGTCGTGGTAAAGATGTTCCCTAGATCCTATCCTTAGATCCTTTCCTACTGTTCTCTCCCTACTGCCCACCCTGCCTCAGCCTCCCTGCCCTGCTTTGGTCTTCCTTGCATTTCCCAGGCATGCTTCTTCTCTTGGGCTTGGGTGCACTTTCCTCAGATGTCTGCCTAGTTTTTACCCTCAGGTATCAGCTTGAATGCCACCCTAGTGGAGAGTCCCTCCTTGATCACTCCAGTTAAAATAGCAAGCTGTACCCGAGCCCTGCCGAGCCACTTTACCCTTCTTTATTTTTCTCCATAGCCATCTTCAACATTTATGTTGAATTGCTTATTGTTAACTGTTCCATGAAGGTAGGGCCTTTGTTTTGTTTCCTGCTATAATCCCAAGGCTTCAGGACCAGGCCAGGTACAGAATAAACCATCAGTAAATACTGTTTATTCAGATGAATAAATATCTTGTTTTTTTGTTTTTGTTTTCCACATAATGTGCTGGTGAAGTCTAAGAAGAATGGGAATACCCAGTATATGTGGGTGTATCATTTGTTACAACCATTTTGGGGGGCCAAGTGGTAACAATGAAAAGTTCAAATGTACACACCAGTCTATGATCCCCAAATTTCATGATGTATAATATAGATAATTGCAGAAAAACAAAAGTATGTTCATTGCTATAATGAAAAACTGGATACAATCTAAATGCCTACTAGTATTGTCTCACATCTTCAATGCAATGGGCTGATATATAGCCTTTAAAAATAATGTACCAACATGGAATGAGGACCAAAATATATTGTAGTGAATACTTACTGTTCTATCTGACCAGACTTCCCTACCCTTTATCATCTCCCTAAGTTGACCCACCCAGCCAGACCACATGATGTGCATCTGACTCACCATAGGCTAACTGAATCCTCTTCCTAGGAGTTGGAATTGGACTGAGGTTTTAGCATAGTGTGATGTGGTTGCTCTTCTTGAACTGAGGACCTATAAAAATTTGCAACTTGTTGGTAGCTATACTCATTCAAATGAAACGGGGAATCAAGAAGCCTGTTTTGGGGGCTTCCCTGGTGGCGCAGTGGTTGAGAGTCCGCCTGCCGATGCAGGGGACGCGGGTTCGTGCCCCGGTCCGGCAAGATCCCACATGCCGCGGAGCAACTGGGCCCGTGTGCCATGGCCGCTGGGCCTGCGTGTCCGGAGCCTGTGCTTCGCAGCGGGAGAGGCCACAACAGTGAGAGGCCCGCGTACCGCAAAAAAAAAAAAAGAGAGAAGAAGCCTGTCTTCAGTGAGAGAGAAAAACAAAGTTGATTATGAAGAGAAGAAAGAGAAGAAGAAATATTCACAGTATTCAAGGCCAATGTTCAGACTTTTTTCAGGACCAATTTTATTCCTGTCTTTGGTTTGCAAACACCACATAATTTGTAAATGCACATCTTAAAGGATCCACCCTAAACTATTAACAAGGAGTTACCTTTGGGTATCCGTATGAGCAGGGAAAGAAGGAAATGAGGACTTCAATTTTTACTTCATACTTTTTTTTCCCCGTACTTTTTTGACTGTGAATTTTTTTCTAAGCTGCATGAATTACTTTTATAATTAAAAATAAATAAAATATTTTAATAAATATTTTAATAAATAAAAATCTCTTATATTAATATCTCCAGTTTATTCCTGGTCATCCAGAGATATAGAAAACGCTGGGTATATATGAAAGGTTCCCTCAAGATTTCTTTTTCTAAATGATGAGGTCTGTTGTGAGAACTTGATTATATGTAATAAAAGCTTGTTGTCAAAAAAAAAAAAAAAAAAGCTTGTTGTCAAATGAAAATAATTTATATACATTTATTCATGAAATGATTTTTGAGCTTCTACTCTCATCAAGACAGACATAGTCTCTGACCAGCTGGAGCTTACCATATAGTAAGGGATTCAGATAAATTAATAGACATTTACAAAATAGTGTGGTAACTGCCCTGGTAGGGCAGTAAGGGATTCTGGTACCAGGGGTATCTAACACAGATGTGAGGGTTTGAGAAAGGCTTCTTACCGTGCCTTGGGAAAGTAAAGTAGGAAAAGGAGATGAAGTGGAGGCTGAATGGTAGAATATGTGAAGTATTCCAGCAGGAGGAATCTGCTATAGGCCCAGAGGGGAGAACTTGGAGTGTGTTTAGCAAACTGACAGTGGCTCAGTAAGGATGGACATCAACTGTTGAGAGATACAAATTCGAGAGACTTGAAAGTCATATTCTGAAGAGTTTGGGTTATGTCCTAAGACAACTGAGAGACTTTGAAGGAAAGCGATACAGTCATACTGCGCTTCCCAAAGCTTTCTGTGGTACTAGGCTAGAGATAGACTGTGTGTAACCACTTCGGGAAAATTGACTGTTGCCAGGTTAGTTGCCATAGGCCAAGTAAATAATGGTAAGATGGTGGCCTGCGTAGAATAGTGGCTGGCACTTCCTAACCTAACCGTCCAGAAGAGGCGCTAATAAACTTGTTTCATTGAATTGATTGGATGTAGAGGTATGAGGGGTGGTGGTAAGGGGGGGGGCGGTGTCGCTATAATTTTCATCTGGCCTGTTGGATGATGGCATAGCTCAAGAAGACAGGAAACCTAGGAGGAAAAAGTCGGTTGAAGGTGCCGAGAGGCCAGGCATTAAATGGACAGGGGCAGTTAGGTGCTTTTGAGACATTAAATTGGAAACGTCCAGTACGTTACATGGGCACGTAGGGCTTTCTTTGCTGGAGTATTCCTCGCCCCACCAGAAACGTTGCTGTTGTGTGTTTCTTAGTCCTTTTCGTATCCCACACATCCCTGGAAACCTTTCGGGCCCGTTACGCGCGCCCGCGCATGCGCAATGGCACCACGCGCGCGGAGGAGAGGAGGGCAATAATTTTTCCGTAACCTGAAGCAACATCCTCCTGAGTCTCCATAAAAAAGGCGGGAACTAGCCAAAAGACCGGGGAGTGATGGGACTTGCAGATCTGCAGTCCCGCCCATTTCAGCCTCTGATTGGTGGGTATCCTGGGCTCGTGGTGGAGGGGCCCCCTCATTGGCTATTAGGCCCCCGGGGGCGTGCCCGCGACGCCGGTCCCTCTCCCCTCACCTCCCCATCTCAAGCTGTAGACGTGGGGCCGCGGCCACAGGCGGTTAGGGGCAGGGGTGTGAGTGCCGAGCAGGAGGCGGGGATGGGGGGGCTGCGGCTGCTGGCGGTGGCCTTCACTTGCTGCTGGTGGCCACCCGGCAGCCAGGGTAAGACGCTGCGAGGCAGCTTCAGCAGCGCCGCGGCCCGAGACGCTCAAGGCCAGAGCATCGGGCACTTCGAGTTCCACGGTAGGTGCGGGGGCGGGGAGAGGGATGAAGGCTCGTGGGCCCATCCCGCGGCCCCTCCCTCCCCGCCTCGCGTGGGGAGCCGGGAGCCGGCGGCGAGAAAAGGAGATGCAATCCATTTAACAAAATCTATTGTGGAGTAGACCTTGGGTGAATGAAGAAGAAACTCGAGGGTTTTATTATTTTTTTAGGTAACATTTTCAGTTACTTAATCAACTGGCTGTAACTATACTTTGACTATTGACAGTGATAGTAATGTCACTACAATAAATGGTACAGTCTGGACACTACCAGAAAATCTGGCATGTATGGAAGCTGTGACGCGGCTTGTTACTCGTGACTCCCAGACAGGTTTTAGACAACCCTGATATTTCATGGTGATTACCTGATAAACATAGAGGAGAAACATGTAGTAAATCCAGATTTCTCAGGTAAGATTGAGGAATAGAGTGTTCCAAGTATATTAACATACACACTTTCTATCTTTTGGGTGTGTGTATTTTACTATTACCAATTTTCAGTGAATTCGAATTCAGGAAAATAATAATACTAAGACCATACAGTACTGAAATATGAACTCTAATTCAGAATGTGATTTAAGATGTTAATAGGGCCTTAGAGTCACTTTTAAGGCTGTTGATAATTTATAACGTAATTAGTTTATATCAGAGACTTAGACGGTTTTTGATACACACTATAACTTTAAATTTATTTAAAATGTTTAGTCAAAGTGATAATAGTAAAAACAACAGAAACAGGAGAATAAAAAGATCTTCAGATGAAAAAACAGCCCTGTTTCCCTTCTCCTCACCCAGAGTCCCTTTCCCTAGAGGCAACTACTTTTTGCTGTTTCTCTCCTGGGCCTTAAATGTAGTTGCTGTGTGCAACAAGGCTCATTCTATAGTTGTCTTACAACATATATTGTTCTGAAAATTCCTTTGTAAAAGTCACAGATGTCAAATTTTGTATCAGGTCTACCCCAAAACTCATTTATTTAACCTTTCTTGCTATAAGATGTTTTTGTATTTTATATTAAAAAATTATTAAATATTAACAGCCATGTTATATTAAAAAACAAAAGAAATTTTGGCAGGAAATTTCTATGGATAGTTTATAGGCAAGTGTTAAAGATGTGGAGTGGTTGTAAAATGAGGCAAAATTCTATCACAGTGAATGTCTACATACAGAAGTGGCTGTTTATTCAGTGAAAAACCATGCGTTATCAGCTGAAGTATAAGGAAACACCACACATTGTTTTGGATAATTAATGTGAATGATCTCTTGACTTGCATCTGAATGGGATGGTCATTCTAATGTGACCTACCTAGCTAAAATGAGATTTAAGAAAAACTGTGCTCTTTTAATTCCCATTTTGATAAATAGAGGTATTGAATTGTCCTACCATCTCAGTCCCATACAAGACCAAACTAGTTGATAATTTTTGTTCTGATGTCCAGGTGATCATGCTCTTCTCTGTGTCAGAATCAATGACATAGCAGTAGCCATTGGAAAGGAAGCTAAACTCTACCTGTTCCAAGCCCAGGAATGGCTAAAGCTGCAGGAAAGTGGTCACGGTTATAGTTGTAGCGAAAAATTATCCAAAGCTCAGTTGACAAGTGAGTATATCCTTTTGTCTTTGATCGTTATGTATATTTTTTTCTTCCTTAATGTGGGGAGTATAATATTTACATATCTAGATGTTTCATGGCACAGCACATACCACACTCTGTTGAGTACATTTTAAGCTAAAGTTTAAGGAAACTAATCTTTTCCTTGATCAAAAGATAGAATGCCTTTTTCCCCTCTTATTCAAAATATTTGAAAAAATATCCAGATAATTTATAAAGGTGTACGTTCCTACATTCAGACTTCTCACAGGTCACATAATTCATACCAATATGGCTGATATATTTTGACCAAGTGGCAGCATGGAGTGAATGATAACATTTGTTGAATGCTTATTGTCTGGTAGCACTGAGCTAAACACTAAGCTTGCATTATCTCAGTTAATTGTATAATTTAGCCCAAGTGATGCTGTTTTGCAACGTGTTATTGGGACTCGGGACCAAGTCATATGGTGACACAATGTGTCATTTTAGAATATACCAGCCCCACATCATTTATAAACCTCTAGGTTTGCCTCTGGAGAGGCTCTACTTTTATTATTCTAGTTGCCTGAATTCTTGAGCTGTTCCATTCTCATCAACACTGTCCCATGCATTAGGGTGTTTGCCATCCAGAGTGAGTGCAGATCTTTTTAATATAGAGATGAAGAGCATATGCCATGCTACCCATTTTACCCCTTGGAAGTTAACTGGTTGTTAATTAGGAATATGAGACATCCATGAGAAAAAAATAGGAATTATCCCTCTCCCCTTTCCCCCCTGTATTTCCACTACCATGTTCTGCATAATGACGAGTCTCTGACTCTTCTTTCAGTCTAGTCAGTAAAGCACTGCCATTTCTAAACATCCAGTCTTACTCTTAGCAGCTGTCTGGTTCCCTCATAACCTGAGTAGGGATAAGAGTCCAAGTCCCCAGTCATTGCCACCCGTTGTGGGGATCTTTTGTCTAGGTTTGTGAGATGACATTGACAGTATGCTGAAGAAGCCTGAATGACTGGATTCAGATATCAAAGACAGTTACATAAAGTTATTTACCTCAACCCTGAATTTTAGAACTTATCTGGGAAATTCATACAAATGCTCATTATCAATTCTCTTTTCCTTTCTACACCAGTTTAATCATCTAGGTGTTCCACATATGTATAAAATGTTCTAGCCTTCTGTTCCCAGTTACCCCCTTCTTGTTTCGTAAGTTACCTCTCAGTATCTCTTGATTTCATCTACTTTTCTTCATCTCTAACCCCACCATGTTATTCCAGGCTGCCGTAATCTCTCGCCTGTACTATTGCAGTAGCTCCTACCTGGCCACTGCAGCTATGCTGGTGCCCCTCTGGAATCAGAGTGATTTTTCTGAATGGCAGGTTTGATCATGTCACATTGGCATCCTCACCAGGCCCTTCAGTACTTCCGTGGGTTCCTACTGCTCTGGGACAAAGGCGGCCCTCCTTAATCTGATCAGCAGAGCTGTCTGAGTCTGGCTGTTGCTTACCCCCGACCCCAGCTTCATCTCACAGCACTGCCCTGTTGGGCCTCATTTTATTTGTAGTGCAAGTGTTCTTTCAGTGCCACCCTGGGCCTTTGCACAGGCTTTTCCTCCGCTTTTTCTTCCTTCCCCTCTTTGGCTCATCCATCCACTAACACTTGAGTTTTTAGAGCCTGTTGTTCTCCTCCACAGCATTTATTTTAGTTACAAGTTTACATTTTATTTATTTGTTATAAAATCAATCAGTGAGAGCAGCAGGGCTCTTTTGGTCTATTTATTCATTCATTCATTCATTCACAGCACTTCCAGTACTATGCTAGGCACTAGTGATACATCAAGGGACCAAAATACTGACACTCTCACAGTCCTTAAGGCTGGTGAGGGTATAAATAAGTTCACTGTGAATAAGTGTGAAACTGCTATTGTGATAAGGACTATGAATGTTAGTTACATGGTACTATGAGTGAGAATTTGTGATACACTAGTGCTCAGTTAAGCATTGACTTAGTATTTGTAGGATGAATTGTCATGGAACTTAGTGCTTGAGGGGTTTTTGGTTAGTAGGTCATTTGCTTTGTACTTCGCACCTCAAAGTCTTTTTCTTTCTCTATTAAAAACTTATCAGGGACTTCCCTGGTGGTCCAGTGGTAAAGAATCCACCTTCCAATGCAGGGGACGTGGGTTCGATCCCTGGTCGGGGAACTAAGATCCCACATGCTGCGGGGCAACTAAGCCCGCACGCCACAACTACCGAGCCCGAGCGCCTCAACTAGAGGCTCGCGTGCCTCAACTACAGAGCCCACGTGCTCTTGAGGCTGCGCACCACAACTAGAGAAAGAAAACCCACAGGCCACAACTAGATAGAAGCCTGCACACAGCAACTAAAGATCCCACATGCGTCAAGGAAGATCCCAAGTGCCGCAACTAAGACCCGGCGCAGCCAAATAAAATAAAGTGAAATTAAATGAAATAGTAACTTATCAGACAGTTTAAAGCTTTGAGCTATAGGAATCGATTTGTTTTCTTATATTACATGATCAATATTATACCATATACTATATACGCTTGCAAAAACATAATTTTTTTTATCAGTCAAATACCTTCAGTCACAGAACTTACGTATATAGAGAGACTTGCTGCATTGCAACGGCAGCTAAACTTGAGAATCACTGCTAGTAACTTGTAATAAGATCTTGTTATCTTTGAGCTGCACTTCACCTATCTGTATAACAAGGAAGTTGGACTAGTTTTCTCTAAGCTTCCTAAAAGTCCTAAAATGCTGTGATTCTAATTATGACTCTTTAGGTGGAGTTGCATATGTAGAGAGCTATAATTTATAAAACCTCTTGCTGTTGTTTTTTTTTTCTGTTTTCCCTTCCTCTTCCCTACTCTGAAGTGCAAGGGTATTCTTTGGAATTGTTGGAACGGAAGATCTCAGGAAACTGGAATTTTTGAGGAATGAAGATTTTTTGTTAAATTTGGAGGTCTGAAATAAATTGAGTACTAATGACATATATATCACTTTCTACATATGTAACCAGTTCTTTTTCCCTTAACAAAAGCCAAGTCTTAACAAAATCTGTATTCTCCAACTTTTATATATTATTTTCATATTTATAGTATATTGTTATTTAGAAGCTTTGATGCATTGAAACAAAAAGCATATCCTTAAATTCATGACAGTGTGAGTAGTATCACGTATTTGAAAATAATTCCTTATAGAAATAATTCTCATTTCCTGACCATTAATGAGACTTTTAAGAATTAATAGCCTTTCACCTACTTGGTGATGAGCCCATTAACTATGCCTAACTCCTATGTAAAACCTTATTGCTGCTGTAAACTATGAAAAGATTAGTAGATTTGAAAAATCTCAGTGTTGAATGTTGCTTGTGATTATACATTCTCCCAAATTAATATTTGAGAAATTATTTTTCAGTCTTACTTTTTGCTTTTTTCTCTTTCATTAATTCATAAAACATCAGATTTTTTTAAATGATAAAAACTATTTTGTAGGTTTTTAAAGCAAACAAAGAAGATATTTAAATGCACAGAAAATGATGAGTTTATATGCAAAAAAATTTGTCTTTTTACATCATATGCATATATTTCCTCTTGTACATTTGGTATATTGTATAAATCGCTTAAAGGTGTTAGTATTTTATTATTCTGGGTAATTTTGTTAACAGTATTCATTTCCTCTATAATATTATTGGGCGATTAGCCTTTCAACACCATTCTCTGCAATTCAAGTTTTGTTAATATTTGAGGTACTCATTACATCAGCATACAGTAAGCGTGCTGTGCAGTAGTCTTTTGTTTCAAAAACAATGAACATGCAGTTTTGTCAAGAGGCTTATTTCCTAGGCGTACTGAAAAAGGCAGCAAGACAAAAACTGAGGCCAATATCACTTTATGAAGCACACTTTTGTTTTTATTTGATGTAGATCTACATAATTTAAAATGAAACATCAAAAAGTGTATTGGTGAAAATATAATGATTAAATTTTTATATTGTTTTATCTAAGAGAAAAAGTGCAAGTGATAAAACCTCAACACAGCAAAGCCTTTATATAATGAAGTCCAGATTACATAATTTTGAGCTGCACATTTCAAAAGCCTTATTTCTGAGCTGCTATTGATCATATATTGAATTCTTATTAAAGGTCATCAATTTAACAGAAACTGGAGAAACTAGAGTCTTTGCTACTTCTTTCTAGAAGCTGTGCAGTAAGAAAAACAGTATAAATGTCAGCTAAATTAAGCTATCCAAAAAAACAGCGCTGTGGTATTCTTAACAAAATCATCTTGTCCAGTTTAACTACTATTAATGAAATTCCCAAATGTAAAGTTTAAGTCCTCAAAATTTGAATTCTGACAAGATAAATCTGTATCTCATTTATAAAGACAACGTATAAATAATATTTCTCCAACTTTTTATTAGGAAAATTTTCAATTATACATACAAGTTGAAAGCATAGTACAACCAACATCTGTATATCCTTGGCTTAGATTTAATAATTTTATCAATAATATTTTGTTATATTTGCTTTATGTTTGTATGTGTGTGATTTTTGTTTTTAACTGAAATGAAAATAAGCTATGGGTGCCTTGAGCAGTTCACCGTATTTCAGCATACATCTTATAAGAGTAAGGACATTCTTCTCCATAACCATTACCATAACAATACCATTACTGCATCTAAGAAAATGAATAATTTCATAATAACCTCTAAAATCTCTTCCATATACAAATTTCCAGTTATCTCAAGAAATGTATTTTATTTATTAAAAAGTTTCATTTTTTCAGTTGAGGAAAAGATCAAGACTGACTGGCATGCAGTGGGGGCAATCTAGACTTGGGAATTGCACCCAACATAATCATATATTTTAAGAATACTCTACTTTATAGAGAATCAGACTCCACACAGGACTTTCATATACTGTCTCATTTGCTCCTCACAAGAACTCTGAGTCAGATTGGGCAAGTATCTTAAGTTTACTACTGAAGAAAGAAATTTAGAGAGGTTAAGTAATGAATATGATTCGTAAGACTTGCTTCTCTAACTCTTCCATTGTCTTTATTACACATAGTGTTTGAGATGCCACTTTCCTACAACATTCAGGGTAGTAGTGAGTTTCTCTTAGGTCAGAATCATAGTTTTAGATTGAGAAGGGATCTTAGACATCATTTAGTGTTTCTCAAAGGGGGTGCTACTGGCATTTTGGGCAGAACGGGTCTTTGTCACGTAAGCTTGGATTGTATGACGTTTAGCACAGCCCCGCTTCAAGTATCTTGAAGTTGAGAACAATTGCTGTGACGACAGAACTGTCCCTACGCATTTTCAAATGCCCTGCAGAGGAGTAGCATTGCCCTGGATTGAGAACCACTTATTGGTATAATCACCATATTTTAAAGAAAGGAAAAGGACAATTAACCTATATTCAGCAACTACTATATGATAGATACCATGTTAAGTGACTCATATAACTTAGTCCTTGCATCAGCTCTTTGCTGTATTATCTTCATTTTACAGATGAAGAAAGTGAGTGTCATTGCTTATGTAACTTGCCCAAAGTCATATAGAAGGTAAGGATTGGAGCCAGGATGCAAGCACAGGTCTGTGTGAGGCCAACATTCATGAGTTCCCACCCCAGCCCAACACACTATATAGATGTGACCCAGTATAACAACTCATATTCCTGTAACTTCTATTTTTCGACTTTTAGTACCTTTTTAAAGAATAACAAATCAGGAAGAGATTTTGGGAAATCTTTTGAAGGTGTTTGTCAGTCATAGTTTTTAGATATAATAATTTCCAAAGTTGAATGCTCCATTTTAAATTTAACTCAAGTAATTTTCAGAAATGTTACTGTGATGACTACACAGCATTGTGCATATACTTAATACAGAACTGTACACTTAAAAATGGTTAAAATGGTAACTTTTGTATTGTGTACATTTTACCACCACAACAAAAAAATTTTTAGTGTTGCTAACTCACTTGAAAATACTTAAAATTGAAATTCAGAGTTTCAGTGAAACTATTCTAGTCATTTGTGGTATCTCATAGAACTTTTATAGTGATTCCTTTGGTTGGTTAAAATACATTATTTTTACCTGCTTTATGACTTACAGAACTTATTCCAATACTACATCAGGGCTTGGACTACTGAGACAATAAGAACTAAACAAAAGAATTCTCATTTCAAATTGATTATGTGACTAAAACAATGAATACATTTGAGAATTTTGCTTTGAAAGTGCTATTTTTTTTCTCTTTAAAGTAGCCATGAATCAGACTGAACATAATCTGACAGTGTCTCAGATTCCATATCCACAAATGTGGCACGTGTTCTATGCAGACAAGTATACGTGCAAAGAGGACAATGAGAATTCTCAGGTGGAAGATATCCCATTTGAAATGATGTTACTAAACCCGGATGCTGAAGGGAATCCATTTGATCATTTCAGTGCTGGAGAATCTGGTAAGAATATGTATTTAAATATATGTCCTAAATACAGAAAAAGATTTATGCACAAATATCTTCATGTTATGTTTTTAGAATACTGAAAATTAAAAATAACTTGTGTCCAACAGTAGACAAATGGTTAAATAAATCTTATAGAATTGTAACAGCTGTACTATTAAGTTTTAAAGCAGAACTGGAAATTTTGTATTGTATGGTTTCAAGTGTGTTAAAAAATGCGGAGAATAAACAGAAGTACAAGAATAGTAACAGATTGTTTCCATATTTTGGGTGGTAGGATTATGGATAATTTTCAGTTTCTACATTCTAAATCTTTTTGTTTTTATGATAAGCTAGCTTTATTTTTATAAACAGAAAAATGTTAAGAAACTGAGCAGTCTAAATTAGTAACCCAGTGATTAAGTGAGATAGAAACTCCACTACTTTGTATAGCTGTCCTTTACTAGGTTGTTTGAACATATTTAGGGGTTGCCTTTATTGGAGATTGCAACCATTTTTGAAATGATCAAAATTGATAAAACTTTCCAAAATTAAATCTACTCCCATAAAATATTTCATCAAAATTTTAGGTTGACAAAATTTTATGTTCTGCCCTACTGAAGTGAATTCCTATCCCAAACAGAAATGAATGACTTCTTGTGATTAATGGTGGACATGCTATAAAATATTATGGATTTGTAAATTAACATGTCAGAATGAAAACTAAAATCTCTAGGCCATCTGTCAAAAAAAAGGTTGGGTGTTTACCTCTTCATGAGTTCATTACCCACTTGGAAGAGTCAGTCTGCTTAGAGAAAAGTTCAATCCCATTGCATTACATTTGCCATCAAGGTGAGTGGGTGGAGGTAGGCCAGGAGTTGAGGCCACATTAGACTAAACCAGTTGTTAAGCTCAAAGTGTAAATTGCCACAGCTAGAAAAGCAACTCAAGGAGCTTGTGTTATAAACAATAAGTCACAAGTGACTTAATGTATGAAGAAAGAAACTTTTTAAAAAATATCCTTTAGTTTGAGAAAATACTTACATAGTGACAGAATGGGGTCCTAAACATTTAAAAATAATTCATTCTAAAAGTCTTTACTGTGAAGGAAATGACATAATTGTTTTTGAGTGCAAATGAATGTAAAGGTTAAATTTCACTTGATACTATTTTGGATCAATGTAGATCATTATTGAAAGTTAATTCTGTCCTACCATTTCTTTTATCTTAGTAAGAGATATTGACATTTATTTTACATAGTTTGGAAAGGCATTGATGAAACCCAGGTCTAGTGATAGCATTGGATGGGTGGTTGGATTAACTTGCTTTTAAGGTTTCTTTTAACTATAAGGCTTCATTATTTCATATGACACTTATCTTTAGGACTGGTCAGGCTTCAGCAGGAAGTAATGCTCTTCTGTAGTCACTGTACATGCAAACCCTACTGCCTCTAGTGGAGTCCACATCTGGTAGCCCTTCCCCCTCCTGCCTTCAGGCAGGAGAGTGGAGGCTCGAGGTGGTTTTATTTATTGTATGGATCCATGAGACTCACTGGATCCTGATATTCTTTTTCTTGCCTCCTTATTAGGCTCTCATTTCTGGACTCTTTCCTCATTCCCAGTTTGATATCTGAACTTGGACCATAGGCCATAAAGCAATGACATTTGTGCCCTGTGTGGTGCTTGGAGTACTGAATGTCAGTCATCCTTACCCTGGCTCATCCTGAACCTTGCCCATGTCTTCTAGTGTTTTTTTCAACACCCTGAATTATGGCTAGCTTTTTCTTTAGGGTTCCCACTAACCATTCTGACTCAGTTCTTAGTCCTGACTCCTTTTGACCTGTCTTCTCCTGTGACTGATTTTGATTTGATACTTATAGTATGTCTAAAATCTGTCTTTCTTATACTAGAATGGGGAAAGTTACTTTGGTCATGTCACCAAGAGTATTTAAATGAGGGAAGAAGTTTCACTATAACATGGATTTTCATTAAGCATGGGATTCTGTGCAAGGCTAATCTGTAGGGATTGATTATTAAAAAGTGCCATAAGTACTCAAAAGTATTCATTGCTAGATGTCTGGCATAATTTCCAAGGATCACATCATTTTATTATTTAAATGCCTTAAAATATGATTAATTCTACATTGAAGTCTAAATCGGTGGTTCTCAACCTGTCACTGTGTATGCATGTGGAGAGCTTTGGAAAAAGTACAGATGTCCACCCCCAGAGATTGAGAGAGAGACTTGGTTTTGGAGTGGAAGCCAGGCACTTGTAGTTGGTCAAAGCTCTGGAATTGATTCTAATGTGCAGAACCACTTAGCTAAAAGTCCATATTCCACATTGTTTTGGTAATGTGCTGGTTTCAACGTAGAGCCTTAAGAGGGATTCTTCCTATTCTGTAGCCTCAGGTATAGAATTTGTTTCCAGGGAATAATTCCCAGTTAGCTCATTTTAGAAACTTTTCCTCATTTGACTAATTTTCTGCCCTAAGTAGAGAAAATTGATTTGCTATGCTTTTTACTGAGAATTGACTGCTAAAGCATGTATCTTAGAGGTTTGAATTAGAATAACCTGGTGCAGAAAGCTACAATTAATGTTATATGCTACTCTGGTTAAATCTTACAGTTTGTTTTCTTTCAAACCAACTATGTATTTTATATCTACGAGACTAGTTAGTCCTGTATTTTACAGACTTAGGTTTTTTTGTTTTGGAGGGGTTTTTTTTGAATGTAGACTAAGGCAAGTTTGATGCTACTTGACAAAATACTACATAGGAATATCATGCTTCAAGATAGAATAAAATAAAACTACCTCTTAAAAACTTAGAATCCTTGTTAACTGTATTTGTGATTGGTAGAGACCAAAAGAAGAAGTACTCAGAATCCTGAGAATTAAAGCATTATTGTCTAAAGTAGACTGGTTTTCATTGGAATGGTATTACAGGCTCTGTCACACCTGCCATCTCACTGTTCTGAAGATTCCAGATATGTTTATTATTTTCTCTTGTTCCCTTTTCTCCTCCGTTATCCTGAAAGATAATGGGTTGGATCTTACCTTTGGCTCTGTAACTTAAAGTAACAGAAAACTCTAATGCAAGTGGTATAGACAATAAGGAAATTAATTCTCTTACATGACAATAATTTCTGAGGCTTCTTCAGGGTAGTTTATTTAACATTATCCTACTCTGTTATCCTCTGACTGTCAGCTTTGTCAGCTCCCTCATATTCAAAGTTAACTGCAGCAGTCTGGGCCGTACATCTAGGCAATTGCAAAATTCAATGTCTCTTTTTTAAGAGCAAGGAAACCTTTCCCAGAAGCTCCCTTATTTCATTGGCCAGAACTCGACACGTGACCTTGTTGTCTAACATCATAAGAGAAATGTAAGTGAAGGTATCAGAAAGGTGATAAGGGTAAACCAACATGTCGAAGTAAAGGGTTAGGTTTACCTCTTTGGGAAAGGGGAATATTGGAATTTCTCTAATTGGTTTAGACTAAGCAGGATTTATCTTGAGACCCTTGAAGGTAGGATGGCCATTGGGGTTCTGAGACAACAAGCATCACAGGTAGGCGAGAGTGTTCCAGGGGCTGCCTCATGACCCATGGACTCTCTCCTTTTCTTACCCTATTTTCTCCCATCTCCCATCATTTAGCCAGAACTGAATTTTTTTAAAGCTGTCCTGGAAGTTTTCTTCCTACTGAATTTTGCCAGTGCTTCCAGTTAAGTTTGCCTTAAAATCTGCTCATTCCCTTATAACATAAGTGTTTGTCACCTACTGCATGCTCATTTAAGAGTGTTTTTCTTCTTTTGTGTATATGTAAGTTTTAATACCTAGTATCCACCTGTTTTTTGTGTGTGTTGTTTTTTTTTTTGTGATACGCAGGCCTCTCACTGTTGTGGCCTCTCCCGTTGCGGAGCACAGGCTCCAGACGTGCAGGCTCAGCGGCCATGGCTCACGGGCCCAGCCACTCCGTGGCATGTAGGATCTTCCCGGACTGGGGCACGAACCCGTGTCCCCTGCATTGGCAGGCGGACTCTCAACCACTGCGCCACCAGGGAAGCCCTCCACCTGTTTTAAAATTAGATTTTAATTTCAAGGTGAACGTAGATTACTTTCCTGTGAAGGATGGTGGCAGAACAAAAGTAAAGTTGATTGAAGAGAAAAAAGAAAAACAGACTTTTTTCCCTAGAGGTGGTTTATTTAAAAGAACACTTGAGTGCAGACCCAGAGTTTTATCTTTAAAGTATCAGGGTAAAGGTAGGAATAATTTATGCAAAATGCAATGAGCAAAGTGTAGGACAAATGTCCTAGTTCAAGTTATTTAATATATTATCTCAATGAAATAATTTTTTGGTTACCGTGTTAGCTTTTTATGGAAGATACATTTAATCTTGAATAATCCTAAAACATTTTTTGCTAGTGACATGTGTCTTATTTTCAAAAGTCCCTTCCTCCTATATTATTCTGGTTCTCAATAAATAGTCTGGGATTTTCTTTTCATGGTGCATTTCTAAGCTAATAGCGTCTGAAACCTTATCTTGTAATGAATATTTTGTAAAGTATTATAAATAAATAAAAATTTAAATAGAATGCCATATTTAATTCTTTATACTAAGAAGAAAAGGTAAAAACAGATTCAGAACACAGGATAGCATACTTTTACTGACACACAGTTATAATATGTTTAGCTTATTTTCTGCCTTGTTCCATTACTATAACAATCCCAGGTTTATTGTCCCATTATTTCTAAAGCTAGAATACGCCTCTGTTTCAGGAATTTTAAAAGAAAATATGCCCATTCTGTTCTTTGATATTCTCTTCCTGAAGTCTAAACATACTTTCTAACCTAGACTAGAGAAGTGGACCATCAACATTTATGTATGTAGAGCTAGAGAGACACCCAGTGGCTGAAATACTTCTTTCTCTCTCTCTCTCTTTCTCCTAACAACGCCAAAAACATGATTGAGATTGAACTGTTTATTGAGTATTTTTCCTACTGTTTGCATCTTCTGGATTACTTTTCTAAAATTATTTTCCATACAATGTAAATATTCCCTTCTCTGCCTGTTGTTTGGAGTTTATCCCACGTGGGAAGCCAGAGCAGATTCAGGGGTCACAGTTGGAATGGAAGTGAGTACAGTTTAGACGTTCATACACAGATTCAATGGAGACAGCTACAGCCACTGTCACGATATCCAGTGTTATTTAGATAGAATATAAAAGCCCTAATATTAGGGACTAGGTTTAGATGTAACCAAGTAAATGTAAGCCATTAAACTCAAAGCTGGCCCCTGGTTCGTTATAAAATTTTCTGAAATTTCCGAAAAATGAAGACACAGTCAAAAGATTCCAGGTAACACAGAAAAAGGGGTGTTTATCTTGAGGATGTGTGAAGACTACTGAAAAGCTGGTGGTAGAAACTGGAGGCTGCTTAATGACTGGGACCATTTTTAATATAAAATCTGCACATTCCTATGCTCTGTTCTTGTCTCTACCAACCAGCTCCCTCTGCTCATTCAAAATTTCTGCTTGCCCAGAATTTTGATTTCATCATGGCCTGGTTTGACTCCTTTGGCCTGCTCCATCATCAGCTCTTTTCAACTCCAGTTTCCCTTGCCTCATCCTTTCTATGTTTTGTGGTTTGATGTCCCAAGAGAACATGACTGGCTTCGTATCTTTGAGAACCAAGTGATGCTGCTGGCCAGTGACTAGTCTGGATTGGTAGCCACTTGGTCAGGTGTTTCAGTTTCAGTCACCTGTGGAGTGGAGTCCCATGGTCTCCATAGGTTTTCCTCTTTGACAGAGCTGAATGCCATTTACTTCAGAAGGAGGCCTGGTCGTGACAGGTATTTTGACGCTTTGTCCAAATGGGAATTTAAGGGTATGATACATTCCAGAGCTTGGTTCTTAGGCTTTAGCTGTATCAGAATCACTGAAGGACTTACTAAAACCAGAATGCTGGGTCCCACTCCCAGAATCTCTGATTCAGTAGGTATGGGTTGAGTCCCAAGAATCTGCCTTTCTAACTACTTCCCTACTGATGGTGCTGCTGGCACAGGGCTCACACTTTGAGAATCATTGTCAGGGTATATAAAACTCTTATTGACTGACTAAATCTATCTTTAAACGTCTTATAAAAGAAATCCACTTTGGGGGGTAAAAAAGCATATCTAACTGAATGCTGAAATCATTGTTTTAATTTACTGTTTCGACCAAAACTATGATCTTGTGGTTAGTCTTTGGGCTTATTCTCTGACCAATATGATTTCTTATAGATTGACTTCAGTTTAATCTGCGTTCTTATAGTTAAAACTGTATCCTAAAGTAGAAAATTATTTGTTTCAACAGTCTTCCTTTTTTTTCTTTTACAAAAGTAAATGCTATGACTTCAGTTAAAAAGCAAGTTCTGGAAATATACTGATGGGAAGGTTTGAAAGCAACCCAACACTATAACTGGCTTGTTCCTTTCTTCTCTTCACAGGGTTACATGAGTTCTTTTTCCTCCTAGTCCTAGTGTACTTTGTGATTGCTTGCATTTATGCGCAATCATTGTGGCAGGCTATTAAGAAAGGAGGACCCATGCACGTGGTTTTAAAGGTTCTGACAACTGCATTGCTGTTACAAGCTGGTTCAGCTTTTGCTAATTACATTCATTTCTCCAGGTAACTCAAAACCATTAAAACTGTGTTCATCATTACGTCTAATTAATCCTAATTAGTCCACCAAAATTATGCTTGCTTTGATTATGAATGATTTTTTTCACACTTGTAATTGATGCTAATATTTTCCTCTTCAATTCTTCAGTTACTCCAAAGATGGAATAGGGGTACCTTTTATGGGAAGTTTGGCAGAATGTGAGTATCTTACTGAGCATTTTTTTAAAACATAAACTTGCTATCTGCTTCTTGTATGTTTTCCTTTTTTGTCAATTACTTTTTGTCATAATACAGTTTTTTTATCCAAGGTTGGTTAGATTCAGCTCAACTGGAAACAAGGTTATACATTTAGTTTCCACATATCCTATTTAGTTTCTTCTTAGTCATAGGTAATGTGCAGAGCTCTTCATTGTCTTTAGAGCATATTTATATGCATTCTCTCTTTTTTTTTTCATGTGGACCATTTTTAAAGTCTTTATTGAATTTGTCACGATATTGCTTCTGTTTTATGGTTTGGATTTTTGGCTGCAAAGCATGCGGGATCCTAGCTCCCCGACCAGGGATCAAACCCGCACCCCCTGCATTGGAAAGGCCAAGTCTTAATCACTGGACCACCAGGAGATTCCCACATTCTCTCATTTTTGTCCTCAATAAAAACTCAGTGAAGTAGATATGCTTATCCCTATTTTGCAGATAAAGAATCTGGGCTCAGTGACAGGAAGTACATTCCCAAATGTCAGTCAGCTAGTGAATGGTAGAGCCAAGATTTAGACCCAAATTTTCTGACCACAAAGCTAAAGGTTTTTTTTCCCTTTTTCATTCCTTTTGTGACTCTTTTGTCTCTATTTCTAACCCAGAGCCATAGAGTATACCTGTAATTGAGCTGACCTCTCAGCTTTGTTCTTTAATTTATAAGAGGAACTTTTGTGAAGTAGTTTTTCAATTAAATATGATGGTGAAAAACTAAAAGTTCCTATAATCATGACTTTTTAAAGGGAACTTTAGAGGGACATCAGGTCATATGCCATTCTCAATCCTGAAAAACAAGTTAAGATTTGCTCTAAAAAAAGCAGATTCTGAATACGAAGACATTCTAGGATTTACTTTCCTTATATTTCCATATTTCTCTTCTAGTCTCCTCACTCTTTAATAGAGTATCTTATAGTAATCTCTATAAACATCTCAGGACCCACTTATCCTGATCTTGCTGCCTATTTTAAGATTCTAAAACTTCTAGAATCTTTCCTTTTCCTTGTGAAGAGGATGGATACTGTTTACCTCTTGGGCATGAACAAGAGTTGCTTCTCCTTTTTTGACATTACTAGAACCCTGGTTTCAACCCCTGTTTTCTCTTAGATGACTCAGGATGTTTAAGAGAATCCTAGAGTTTTAAAGCTGGACAGAGCATAGAAATAATTTAGCTTATGCATTTTAGATGAAGAAATTGTGGTCCAAAGAGGCAAAGCACACAGAGGCCCATCAGTAGCAAAGCTGTTACTAAAATCAAGGACTTTTGAAGTTTTGTGAGTGTCTACTGTATTCAAAACAGTGTTTTAGGCTGTCTGGCATCTTCATGGTAAGTTAAAAGCAAAAGTCTTTTTAAAAAAACTGCAATAAATCAATGTTGATCATTTTTGGTAGTTCTGACAACAGGTTTGGTTAATGAAGATTTTTAATCAAATTCCACAGAATGGGGTTTTTGTGTCATCTGTGTATTTTATCTACATTAGTTATTTTTCAAGAACAGATAAGCAGTGTCTACCTACCCTCACAGTTATGGTATTATATCAATATGTGCATTACTTAGTATGTAAAGAAATGAGCCAGAAAATCAGTGTTCCCTCCTCCCCAGTATTTGTTTTTGCTAATTAGCAACTTATCTAGGGATATTCCTTTGGCTAACTTCTTTAAATAACTGAATATGTATTTGTGAAATGTTTAATAAAAATAATTAGCATCACAGTCATTTAAAATCTATGTTGTAAGAAAATTGTGCTTGTTCTGAAAGGCCATGACACTTTATATCATTAAAGTGTAGTGACAGTTCAGTATTAGAATTCGCTATTACAAGTATATAAGCATAAATGTAAAGTATCCGGTTTTAATTTGGGTGGCAGAGCTGGAGAAAAATATGGCAAAATAAAGCTGAAAAGGTCTATTATTAATAAGTTTTTGGCTTGTAACTTTTAATATAAGTTTGATACTACAGCTAGTTTTATCTGTTTCTCTAAGAATATCTTTATATAAAAGAAATAAAAGTCATAGACATCAAAGTTATAAATGGCAATTTGAAGAAAGTTTTATTTTGTTGAATTGTGATCACATGTTTATTCCAAAATCCACATCAAAATACACTCCGATGAAAAAGTAATAATTTTTTTAAAAATCAGTAAATAGAACTTCTAAAATGAATACACATGGCAGTTGAAGTATTATTGCTTGTTATTTTCTTGTCGCACTGAACTGGGTGCAGGCGGTTTCGTTGCGTCTTTTCTACCACAGCCAGCTTCCCCTGCAGTGTAAGCAATGGCCACCGGGGGGCACATCACACTAATGCATGGAGCGCTTCATTCGTCTTCAGGACTCTGACACTAGGGCCAACATAATTGGATGTTACAGCAGCTCTGCGTTTTATTGTCATGCTATTTCTTATTGATAGGTTTAGAAAATACTCTTCATATTATAGGTCAGCCACCAAAAAAAATTAACAACCCAGAAGTATTCTCCACATTGCAGAAGTTATATTTAAAATTTGTTTCTTTTCATAAGCAGTGAGTTATAGATTGTGATTAGAAAAACTAAGAATAAGAAACACAAAGAGATTTAAAGTTGGCCTTAATAAAGATATGATATGGACACATATATATTTTTAAAAATAGGAGTATTGCCATTGTTTTAACTATTTTCAGAAAGTTTACAAATTTAATGGCAAAATTTTAATTCTTTAGAATTATTATACATGAATATCTCTTATTGAATTTCATCAGTTTCTTTTTTAAAATGCCTGTCTTTTGTGGTTAATAAAATAATTATATTCTCAATGCAAAAAGGATAAAATTTGGGAATTCCATGGTGGTTCAGTGGTTAGGACTCCATGCTTTTACTGCTGAGGACGCAGGTTCAATCCCTGGTCGGGGAACTAAGATCCCACAAGCTGCACAGTGTGACCAAAAAAAAAAAAGGATAAAATTCTTCGTATTGTGAAAACTCAGTTGACTTTGCTTTTCATTTCCCATTAGTTTTTGACATCGCTTCCCAAATTCAAATGTTATACTTACTTCTGAGTCTATGCATGGGTTGGACAATAGTCAGAATGAAGAAGTCTCAGAGCAGACCTCTCCAGTGGGATTCTACTCCTGCGTCCACTGGCATTGCTGTCTTCATTGTCATAACACAGGTTAGTAGTGATACTAAATGTTTCTGCTTTGCAATATTGAGAAATGCAAATTTGAACATATCTCATGTCAAGAAACCTGGGACCCATGAGGAATTTGTGTCATTTTAAACTATGAATTTAAAGAGTGATAGATCATATATGAAGTAAGTGAGAAAGAGAAATACCATATGATATCAGTTATATGTAGAATCTAAAATATGACACAAATGAATTTATCTACAAAACAGAAACAGACTCTCAGACATAGAAAACAAATTTGTGGTTACCAAAGGGGAAAGAGGGAGAAGGAGGGATAAATTAGGAGTTTGGGATTAGCAGATGCACACTACTATATATAAAATAGATAAACAGGGTCCTGCTGTATAGCACTGGGAACTATATTCAATATCCTGTAATAAACCATAATGGAAAAGAATCTGAAAAAGAATATGTATATATATGTGTAAATGAATTACTTTATTGTACATCAGAAGCTAACACAACATTGTAAGTCGCCTATACTTCAGTTTTTAAAAAATGGGGAAACAAGAGTGATAGATCAATAACCTGTTAGCTTTCCGAGTGCTGAGGTGTGCACGTCGCAGAACTTCACTGTAATTCACCTGAATCTGAGCTTCCTATCAGATTATTTCAGTGCAGTGTATTTAATATTCAGTTACATTCTCATTTCCTAATTAAGAGCTTTCTTTCATATTTTCTAACACTTAGTAAGTACTCAATATTAAATGAGTCAGTTAATGAATTTGAGATTCATTCATTGGCCAGAATCTACTTTATACATGAAAGAATTCAAGTGAATATCAGATTCAAGAAAAAACAAAACGTAGAATAAAAAAGAATAGGATCTTGTTTTTGAAAACAAATGTAAAAACAAACTTGGTCTTTTAGAAGAGTCCTCTATGCCTTTTTTTTGTTTTTCTCTATAGTGACCTATAGACATTATTCTAGGATCTCCATATGCCTACGTACAATGGATTTATAAAAATTAAGAAGAAAGATATAAACATAAAAATTTGTATTGAGTTTGTGACCATCAGCTATAGATGAAAATGAAATATACATCTGGGCTCTGTAAAGGACATCATAATCTAAGTTTTAATGCATTAAATAAATGGAAAAACTCACTAGTGAAGGGTAAGGCCTGTGCCCATCTACCTCTAGTACTTATTTTAGAACCTTAGGTGCTGAGTGAAGGTTTATTGAATTTACATGATTGATTTAGAAAGAGACCATATCACAGATATTGATATTTAAAAAGGAGATAATGCCAGGATGGGAGGGCTAGTGAGAAAGAACTGAATTAGAGGTGATTAAAATAAGGGTAATTTCTGCCAACTTAATGTTTTTGATCCAGGATTTATGGAGAGTAGTGTTAATATCAGGTTAAATTCTCATTTCTCAATAACTGTTTTAAAAATCGAATTTTCATTATTTCATTGCAATTTAAATTCATTATCATAAACAAATACAAATTGAGATTATAACACTACCCTAGAGTTTATGTGAGCATTTGTGAAGAATGTATTAGACACGGCCCTGACTCTCAACAGCAGCCAGACTAGGGGGACGAGACAGGCAACAAGAGATCACGTAAATGTGTACAGTGTATTCCACAGGTCCTGCATTAGCATACGTATGTGGAAATATGGGAGTATGAATATGTAAAAATGTGAATCATGGGAAATAGTAGTTTGGGGTTTTTTTTTTGCTTTATTGGGTTATAATTGAAAAATAGAAATTATATAGATTTAAGGTATACAACTTGATGTTTTGATATATTTATACATTATGAAATGTTCACCACAATCAAGCCAGTTAACATATCCATTACCTCACATAGCAGGAAATGATAGTTCTATAATAGCACTTCTTTGTTGTAAAGAGTTACGTTTAGAAATGCAAGTTAAGGAATCAGACGGGTATAATTTGGCGTAGAGGAATGAATTTCTGTAATAAAGATCTAATTTTTGTTTCAAGAAGGAAATTTATGTGTGCAAGATGAGAAAAGAGTTCACCTAGCGAGAATGGTAGCTGGAGTAAAATTAGGGTGGAAGATTTGAGAATGAGGAAAGGAAGTGGTTGCTGGTAAACCCCATAAAGCCTAAAATTGGATTTAATAATGGAGTTTCGACCTAAATTCTTTGGAAGCCACTGAAGACCCAATTCTGAAGGCTGAGTTGGCAAATGAAGGGAGCACAGAGGGCTACTGACATGTGTGATGGTGAAAATTATCGTAATTGAAGTGATTGCTGTTTGGTAAAGGTGGAGGGAATGTGGGCACTGATTTCTACTGAATAGCAGTAAACAGAACAGCTTAATGAAGAACTTGCGAGCTTTACACTGGGATAGTAACAATATGGTAAAAAAGGTGAACAGACAAATAAGGATAAGTAACTGTGCCCTGGATGCTATGTTGGACTTGAAAATCTACTCTCCTTTACCCAGGGAAGTTACCGTGGGAAAAGAATGAGGTCTGAAATCAACAATTCTGACTTGTTAATTTCTGGATTACAAAAGATACTGAGATATTTGAAAGTTTATCCTGAGATAATGGGCTTGAATGCAGAACGGTTTGATTCCTAATAAGTGTTGAAGTAAGAAAGATTTAGAAGAAAGTTTTATGTTTATTCTCTTCATCTTTTCGACTTATTTTCATCATTAGAGCTGTCTTACTTGAATCCTGGTAACAGTAGCATTTTTTATCTCTTGCATGTGGTCTCATTTGATTACAATCCCTTTTCTCCAGCTGAGGGTATCAGTGAAGGAAAAACTGATTGTGCTTTATTAATCAACACCTTATATAGTCTGATAAATCTTAGAGCCTCTTAGGAATGTTTATATACTGGTTAAGGGGATATAGAAAAGAGTTGAAAAAAGTACCTTATTGTAAGTAGACATGACTTTTTTCTCTAAATATTGTTTTTTACAGAGTATTTTGCTACTTTGGGAACAGTTTGAAGATACCAGTCCTCACAGCCACCATTCACACCACAACTTAGCAGGGATCCTTCTAATTGTTTTAAGAATTTGCCTAGCGTTGTCATTAGGCTGTGGACTCTACCAGATCATCACAGTGGAAAGAAGTACACTCAAGAGGGAGTTCTATATCACTTTTGCCAAAGTATGGGTTTGGTTAGAAAATGACTTCTTCACATTATCAACTTCATTTTGCTTTACTTGGGAAGTTAAGGAGCAACCATATGCTAATATTTAGTAAGGTTTTATTGCGTGCCAGGTACTCTATGTGCTTCAAATCATTTAATCTTCATAACTTATGAGATATAGATGATATTATCCCCATTTTGCAGAACTCATGAAACAGTAGTTTCCATGTAATCTTTGGCAGGTCCGTTTTGCCTGTATTATAATTTCTTTATCAATAGGGATTTTACATTTTTTCTGTAGTATCAGAATTTTTTTAATAAAAAAATTAGGATACGGTTTGCATGTCTCAAAAAACAGCCATTAATGGACTATGAACTGTTACTCCCAGAATTATGCAATGTTTTATAACAAACTATGAAGAGCCGTCCTTCAGCATAAGCAGAGGGAGCCAGGACGCTGAGTACATACTATGTTTCAGCCATTTCATGTCATCCATATGAGATCATGTGTACTTCATTCCCCCTTGTTGTGTCCTTCTTATGCTAGTGAGATCTAAAGGCAAATGGATTTTTTTTCTGTATCCATTTAATAAAGGAAAAGATCAGGAGACAGGTTGAGTCAGTAACGTTACAGAAGCCTCCCTTCCTAGAAAGTTATATTTTTTTGGTCAGATTGAGAGAATCCATAACCCATCATCTTGGCAACTCAGAGCATCATTCTGATAAGCTGTTTGGTCAGCCCACCCTAGTTGACAGTCTCAGTAGAACGAGGCTGAGACGGAGGAGGGCCAAATTCCTTCTTTATTCCAGATGTGGAGCATTTTAAAGCTGCCGCTGCAGCCCTAGGAACCCATGTCAGGCCTCTGAGTACCAAACAGGCAAGGATATGCCATTTCACTTCGGAATTCTTCCCAGAGACAGTAGTGCTTATTGTTTCAAAAGTCAGTATATACTTCAGGTATTTAAAAACTAAATTTCTTCTTTTCTTCTATGTTTAAAACAGTACAAAATTTTTTTCTTAAACTTTAATTTTTATATGTTTTAATATAACTATTTGAATAGGTTCAAACATCCAAAAGTATTTAAGAAGCAGCAAACGTGTTTCTTCTCTCCCATCTATGCAGTTATCACCTCCTCAAATAATCACTGCTATTAATTCCTAATTTATTTTTTAGAGAATTTAAAATATATTACTATATACACTAATGTGTATAAATGGATAACTAATAAGAACCTGCTGTATAAAAAAATAAATAAAATTCAAAAATTCAAAAAATATATATATATTTATATTTCCCTTCACTTTTATACAAATAGTAGCATTGTGAACACATTTTTCTATATCTTGTTTTTTTTTCTTATAACCTCAATATACCAAGCATTTCAACACCTACTAGTATTAACTTATTATTTTATTTCAAATTTAATTTTGGAAAAGGATAAGTTGCCATGTTCTAGGAAAAATAGAACATATATATTTGAAAAGTATAGTGTTAAAAAGTTTCCCATTCCTACTCGCCTAATTCTGTGTCTTTTGTACTAAATCTCAAACAGGTAACCGCTGCTAGTCAGTTTTTGTGTATTCTTACAGAATTTCTTTGTGTATCTATATGCAAATATGAATGTATATTCTTACTTGTTTTTTATAGAAATATTACACATTTGTACCTTGTTTTTCTCAGATTTGTTACTTATATATCAAAACCTCAAAATATATGTATGAGGAAGATGTAAGATTTTAAATACTCCAAAAACACCCATTTGATTAGAAACAGAATATCATTGTCACAACAGTAGCAAATATATTTCTACATTTTATTGCAAGTTCTACTGTACAGGCCAATTGAGATCAATCATGACCTCCTAAATATGCTGGTATTGTTATTTACCTGGTACATTCTGAAAACAAAGCATAGCTGCGCTTACTTGACTTATTTTTCATTTGTTTCAGGGCTGTATCTTGTGGTTTTTATGCCATCCAGGTCTTGCATGCATTTCTGTCATTTTTAATGACTACCAAAGAGATAAGGTAAATAATATACATGATCAAAATAGTTTTTTGTAGTCTTTATTGGGAAATTATTAAAGTAGGAAAGGCCTGTTTATCCATTCAGCGGTTTCTTGGATTCTTTAAAATAAAACTTTGAAACAAAATATTGAACCAGTGAGTATTTAAATTTAGTTTATAAGCAGAATGATGGAAAATAGCTTTTGTTATTCTTATTTTAGCCAATTTCATAATACTGTTTTATAAATTAAATTATAAAATTTATAACTCATCTTTGTAGTTAAGAAAAAATGATTAAAATTTTTTGCTACATAATGTTAAAAATCAAGACAGCTTTCTAAAAGTCAGTCTAGTTGCTTTAACAGCCTGCAGACTGGAATGCCATGCTCAAGTATGCCACATTTTGGTTGTATTGATACCTACCTTCTTAGGTGAATTACTCCATCATTTCGAAGTGGAGTTCTGCCAGGAGCCCTTTACAAGCAATGCAGTGTGCGGTTGAACACACAAATGTTTCTTGAACCTGAGGTATTTACAAAGGGTAAATAGATAGGAAGGTAGTCTACAAAAATAGAGAAGTGACTTGAGAATTTCGGAAAGGGCTTTTAGAGCACTCTCCAGCATTCAGGTAGGGGCATGCTTTATTCCTATTACTAGATTAGCCAGGAGTCTGATTTTTCCTATTACTTTCTTTAGTGCATGCACCCTGAGAAGATGGTTTAGCAAATTATTCTTTTGTGTCTTATTTTGACATCTATAAACTAACTGTTAAAGGAATTTTACTTTTGAACAATTATAGTTGAACATTAGTCTCATTTTCCTATTGAAAATTTCTTTTACAAAATGTACACACAGTAAAGATGGGACAGATACAGTTTTTTATTTATGTATATTTATATAACGTATATATAAGTTTATATATGTATAAAGTATTTATAGGTCCATGATAAAATGAATATAATTTCTGTTTTTGCAGGCAGTAAAGCATTCTCTTTCTTTTCTTTTCAGGTCATTACAGTAGGCGTTATCCTTTGCCAGTCTGTTTCCATGGTGATTCTCTACAGACTCTTTCTATCCCACAGTCTTTACTGGGAAGTTTCTTCACTTTCCTCAGTAACACTGCCACTGACCATATCATCTGGACACAAAAGTCGCCCTCACTTCTGATACTTGATTTTCTTTAGAGGAAAAGTAAATTTATTTACCAGAGTGCAATAAGGATTCAAATACAGTGACTTTTCTTTTCATACTTTTGGTATGAAAAATTGAACAGAGAAAGCAGAGCATGTTATTTATACAACTGCATTTAAGCAGTACCAAACTGAAAAAAAGGTAATAAATGTTTTGAGATATACTTAATAAACTTTCAAGAAAGAGTGTTGTTATAAGATCATTTATGCAATTTCCATATGGAAATAAAGATGAAAAGAATTATATGATATTTTGGTAAGAGATTCACCACTTATAATGCCTCATCTTATATCAATAATTAACTCAGGTTTGATAGTCTTATAAAAAGTAATCAGTTAAATGATTACTTGCTTATACATGTCTAAACCAAGTCCAGTTATGAAATCAGTGTAATACACTGGTTAAAAACTGCTTCTTTTTATGCTTTAAGGAAAATGCATTTTGTATTGGAGTTAAAGAAATTGAAAATGAAGTTACTTCAGAAAATCAGTATAAAATATATTCATAGTTAAGTGAATAAGCTTTTGTTTATTTGTGGGTGGGGTTATTCTCCATTTTCTTCTATTCTAGCTCTAGCTAGGTTTTAGCTTGATTAGCAAAGCGTTTTTGACAGATAGTTTATGAAAAACTTAGATACATTGCATTGGTTTTACAAAGGGTTTTAAAATCTGAGCACTTAGGTGAAGGGACAAGCTGGTTTACATGTTGAAAAAGAAAGAAGGAGAAAGTACTCTGTGATATGGTACTAAAGTTTTAATCCTGATATAATTCATTTCTCTTACACTGAATCCCCAATCATAATTAAGCTGTATACACAGATTAAATTAACAGAAGCATTTCACATAAATGCTGGTTTCAGTCATCAACTACCCATGAATTCCTGCCCAAGGATACTTAATCAGGATTAAATTTTCTATGAATAATTGAAAAACAAAATACTCACTGGATTTGTTATAATCCGTGTTGGCACTGGATTCTAAGTAGTTGCCATCTTGAATCCTTTGTAATAAAGCCATATTTTTGCATATGATGCCCCAGTATTGAGTATACACTCTATCAAGTGCCTGTTTAAAAAATTGCTAAATTGTTGTTACTTGCTGTATAAAATGACTATGCCCATTAATAGTCACTGATCAGAAATTATTCTGTTTCTGTTTTTCAAGTCATTCAGGCCTTTACATTTTTACCTCTGGCTTATTTTAAAGATATTTTTTAATCTACTTGCAAAGGTATTATGTTGTTAAGCAAGAGATGGTGCACTGATCTGGTAATTAACCTTTTTAAAATTAAACAGTTAAAGCAACATAGCACAACTTAAAAATCTCTTCGATGTTGTCTGTTTTTCCCTTACATCTAGTCTCATTGGAAATGAATAGTATTCTGCTTCATTTTAAAGGGAAAATACGTGTGTTCATGACTAGCAAAATGGCAGAATGACAGAGTTCAGCCTGCTCATTAAATCCTCAACAGTTCTTTGTAAATTATTTAATAAATGAGAGCTACAGGATGAGACTAGAAAATCTGAGGTGTATCTTAGGTTTAGGTGTTGTTCTGAGTGGTCATGACCTTTGCTTTTACCACATCTCACTAACAACCCCAGTTATTGTCTGTTGTGTTCAACTGAAGTACAGTTAACTGAGCTGGGGAAAAAGAGTGAAGCCTTTTCATAAATTTTGTGAACTTGCAACAGTGGGAAGAGAATAATCTTTGTGTTATTTACACAAAGAACATGGAAACTGTAATCAACATGTATGAAATATATTGCTGTGCTTGCGTTTATGAGGCTCGAACAGGGGTTTTTTTACTCTATTTTTTAAGTTATGGTTGAACTTGCTGATAATTTATTTTGTTATTTAAGAGCCACTGTTAAATGAAGAAAAACAGTTAGTAAATATATAAGGCAGTTGTGAATAAAGGTTCTAGGTCTAGTGCTGTAACCACACTCCCCTTTAACTGAGTATAAGAGAGAGGATAAATGGTTCCCCATAGTCACCTGACTTTCCTTCACTTTTCTACTTTACCCTCATGATTTAATTAGCACCTATTAGATGTTGTGTTAAATTTTAGTGAGAATGAATGGCTATCCATAGTTAATTTTAGCTGTTGGTTTTTAACATTAAACCTGGAATTGTGCTGAAAATCAGAAATGAGCTTGAATATCTGTACCCTCAATATTTGAACACTTGGCTTTCAGCCAGACAGTATTGCTAGCAGGGAGAGATAATCCAGGCAGAAGAGCTTGCTTTAGGAAAAATTTTCATGATCTCAAGTAAAATAAGCCATGTCTAATGAAAATGGGAGATATACAAGTCTAAGACCAATTCTAAGATAAGGAGACTAGAATCTATACATCAGCATAAACATTGGCCCCTTCACCATGTTTCCTTTAGGCAGTTATGCATATTCTCTGGAAATTCTTTGGAAATCTGGAATTATTTGTGACACGTTCACTTTAAATAGCTTCAGTGGTGTCAAATCTTTAAGGTTCTTTGTTTTTGAGAAGTGATTTGATATAGCCAATAAATTTGAGACTAGATCTGAAGAGGTAATAGCAATTTTTGTTCCAACATGTATTTATGAATTGAGACTAAAATAATGAGATTGGTTTTCCAATGAGATCTGAAAACTGAACTTGTGCAGTAGTTCTGTAATATTGCTGCTTCCACACTTGGGTGCCTTCTCTGCACAACTCCAAGGGCATCACGCACATTGTGCTCTAGGAGTGACAGTTACATAGAAGAGCAAGAAGCTTGGAGTTGTGGAAGGGGTGGTCCTGCCCGCTACAGCCCAGTCTCCACAAAGCAAAGGGAAATCACCCGGATGATGGAGTTCTTTGTGCTAACCTGGTGCCTTTTATATTTGAAATTATTTTAAAATAGTTTAGAAATGTAAATCAGATCAAACTACTGCTGTCTTATTAAAAACTCTCCGCTTGCTTCTCGTTGCACTTAGAAAAGAGTGACTCATGCTCATTACCATGTTCTACAAGGCCCCACGTGATGTTGTCCCTCCCTCTATCTCTGATCTTATTTCATACCACCGTCCCTCTCACTATGCCCCAGTCTCATCATCCAAAAATACCTCATTTATATCACTGCCTCAGAGCCTTTGCACTAGCTATTTCTTCTGCCCGGAATATTCTCTTCCAAATCTTGATGTGGTTGTATGGTTGAATCCTCATCCTTCAAGTTGTCAGCTCAGATATCTTTCGGAGACCTCTGACCATCGGTGGTGGATTTATATGAGGCCAATGTAGCTAAGCTGGAGATATGTTTCTCAGAATTACCTCTGCATAATTCCAGAATAGCATGGGTCAAAGAGATGTTTGGAGTAAGATTTAGTGGGCTGAAGTAAAGTAGCCAGATCCAGATTGTTTTTAAAACTGAAAGGTCCAAGCAAGGCACGCACTGTTGCTGCTCAGCCAGGTTATTGCTTATCTGCTGGTTCACCTTCTTGGTGTGTGGGCCAGCAGCCAGGTCCACAGAACACCAGCTCCTACTGGGTCACCTCCTTCAGCTTCTCTGACTCCTGGGCCAGATGTGTGTATTACTCTATGACAAAGGGTGCTGGGTTGTGCAGGACAACCCCACTATCGAGGTTGGAGACTTGCAGTCCATTCTCATGAGTTCCACCCAATTCCCATGGGTTTTGCTCATCCTGGCAGGTCCCAGTGCATCTTTGCTTTCCCCACTTCACATTCATCTTCCCTCTCACTTGCCAGACACAAAAGGAATAGCCCCCTAGAATCCCTATAATAAATGCCTTATTTTATATATTAAAAATGGAGTGTGTGTGTGTGTGTGTGAGAGAGAGAGAGAGAGAGAGAGAGAGAGAGAGAGAGAGAGGGAGAGAGAGCCTAGTGGTTTTCCTTTTCTGAACAGACCCTACAGATACACCATCCTGTCTAATGCTGCACCCCATCCTAATCACTCTATTACAGTATTTTCTTTTCTCTTTGTAGTACCGCTTTATCTTTGCCTCTTGCCTCTCTCCCCAACTAGAATGTAAATTCTGAGGGAGTTTGGCCATGGTCTGTATTGTTCATTGCTGTATCCCTAGCACCTAGAACATTCTCTGGTGCACACTAGATGCTCAAAAATACTTTCGAATGAATGGATAAAAGCAATTCTGGAAAAGTTTCAGGCATGTATTTAGCAATACCAACTATATAGTGACTTCAATAATGCCTTGCTGTTCTTTATTAAGTTATATGGAACTGAGAATGTGTAAAAATCTTGAGTGGTCAAGTAGTTGTTAAATAAAGTCTAACCTCGAAAACTCATCAATTTTAAGAGGATTCCTCAAGTTGTCAAAGAGCCAGTTTCCCTTTGTTTTAAATAGACCGTATTGGGACCATGTGACTGGCATTTTAGCCTACCGCACTAAAAGCACCAATTTAAAAGATGTTTAAGTTAGCTAGAGGAAGGAATGTTGACAGTAGTCAGAAGCAGCTGGGAGAAAGAAAAACTAAAAATGACCCTAACACTCAAATCACAGCAGCCTGGGGTCATTTAGTATGGGTGAAAACAGCCCTGTGTGCCTCGATAGACACTTAGAGCTTTATTGTTCAATATAGCTCATGACAATAGCCCTTAGGATTCAAAGATTAAATTATAAATTATGTTCAGTACCCTCAGAGAAATGTTCAAATACATTGTTAATGTTTTATTCTTGTTAAATTGGTAATATATGTCATTGATCGTACAAAAATTAGAAGGTTAAAAAGGGTAAAAAAGCAAGTCCTTGCAGCCACTTATTTCCCTCCCCTGGATTCAACCTCTGTTACCAGTTTCTTGTATATTTTTCTAGAGATGGCCCCATGTATATATAAACATATGTGAAACACAGATTGGAGCATCCCATACAGGTTGTTTTGCACATTCAGCAGTTTATTTTGTATCCCTAACTACTGAGTTGCCCCATCTTTTCATCGATTGCTTAGAATTCCATTATATGAATGAATCTTAATTTTTTTAATCAGTCCTCTGTTACTAGACTTGGTTTCCAGCCTTTTGCTATTACAGGTAGCCTCTTAACTCTTGGAATAAAAAATTTGCCTGGCCCTCTTCCCCTACTCCCAGACTGTCCTGCTCGGCCCCCACCCTCAATCCCACTTTCTAGAATCTAAATCATTGGAATTTTCAGAGTGCTAGAAGTGTCTTTGTTATTCATGGTGGAAACTGATAGTTTATGCTAATGAGATGACTCAGTATGAAAGCTGACCACACCAGAAAGACCAAACATATGATTAGAGGGTTGGGGCTTTGAATCACAGTGATATCAGCCTGACCTCTGGGGAGGGAAAAGGGGATGGGGATTAAGTTCAACCCTGTGGTCAGTGAGAGACTCTATCATGCCCATGTAGTGAAACCCCAACAAAGACTCTGCACACTGAAGCTCAGTTGAGCTTATAGATTTTTTAAATACAGGTAGAATTAAAAGTTGTTTTTTTTTTTAATGGCCACTGTGTTTTACCTGTGTCATAGGTAGAAAAACCTTACCTCTTGGAGATTATGTTTAAACCCCTCATATTTTCTTCTAACAGTCTTTTTTTTTAAATATGTTTAAAGTTTTGATCCACCTGGAATTAGCTTTGCTGTAAAATGTGAACTAGGGATACAACTTAATTTTTTTGAGATGGTTGCCCCCTTATTGCAACATCATATATTGTATAATCCACCTTTTATTTATTGATTTGTAGCCAACCTATTTGGGGACTTTTAAGCCTTTTCAATGAACTGTTGATTCATGGTCTAATACCACACTTTTAATTATTATAGCTTTAAAATATGCCTTACTGTCTGATAAGGATAATTTCCTGTTAATACTGTCCTTTTTCATAATTTTTAAAATTATTCTTGCCAATTTTTTCATATGAGCTTTAGAATCCTTTTTTTTCTGATTTTTTTAAAAAGAAAAACAAATCCTGTTTACTGTTTTTAGTGAGATGTATTAAATTTCCATATCAACTTAGGGATTTGACTTCCTTAACATGTTGGATGTTAATTTCACAGATGGTAGCTTGTCCTTTTGGCTCCTTAGCCAAGCATGTCATCAACTGTCTGAACTGTGGTTGCTTCCATAGTGATTCATGAAACTGGTATGAAATACCTTTCTATTTTTTTAATATGAGTGTGTGTTTGTCAATCACTTTTTAAAGACTTCTTTATATAGAACTTATACATTTCTTGATAATGCCTAAGATATTTTAATGTTTTCTTTCATTATATGTTGTATATGGCTATTTTACATGTGAAGACTGTTGGTTTCTGTATTTTAATTTTGCTTTCAATCACCCAACTGAAATCTCCTAACAGTTGTACTAACTTTCTAGTTGGTTCTTTTGTACTTTCTAGATAAACAGTCATGTCATCTGCAAATAATGACCATTTAACTTCTCTTCTTCCCTTTTATACCTCTCATTTTTACTCCTTATTGCTAATATCTCCAGAACAATGTTAATTAGTTTTGGTAACATGGTGGTAAGAGTTCTACATTCCACAT